CCAGGCTCAGGAGCTGCGGATCTACAAAGGCAGCCTGCCACACGTACCGAAGCAGCAAGCCGAGACCTCGCCACATCCGCCCTTTTTCTCACGCAGACACACACTTTCAATGCATCTTTGGTCTCTTCCTGAAGATGAGATTTAGAAGTGGCTTAACTTGCCTCCCCTCTGCCACCGAGCCACGACATTTGCACTTTGACAAAAAGCATTGAGAATTGGCTGGTGCAAATTTAGGTGACATTTAAGACAAATAGTCTCAAGTAAACTGTGTAGGTGCATGAAAGGACATACAACCCTCCACTTTTGTTGAGTTTGGCACACAAGACCCGTGTGAAAGTGAAAAACTAATAAAAAGAAATGCTCTAGGTTCTCCAGCATGGTTCTGTGGTCAACATCTGCCAGAAATTGACCAGGAAACTGCATTGAATGACTTAGAGATTGCGAGTGAGGTGATCTCTAAAAATCTCTAGGTCCTTCAGCATGACTCTGTGGTCAACATCTGGTGAGAGTTGACTATAGAGTTGCACAGGACGAAGATTCCTAGTAGGAACATTTTAATCAAATCTGCAAATGAAGAAATCCTTAAAAAGGAAACCCTGCAAATGTGGGAGGTCAGCTGTAGCGTGAATGTGATCTGGCCTGTAGGCATCAAAGTAAATGCATCTTTTTGTGTGTATGTGGGAGAGGGAATTGTGCAGCCATCCAGATGTTGTAGGATTGTGACTGGTTGTAGGATGGTGCTTGGCCAGTAGGCATCAAAGTCAATGCAATCATCTAGATCAGTGGTTCTCAAACTGTGGGCTCCAGGTGTTTTGACCTACAACTCCCAGAAATCCCAGCCAGTTGACCAGCTGTTAAGATTTCTGGGAGTTGATGATCAAAACATCTGGGAACCCACAGATGGAGAACCACTGATCTAGATGTTTTGGACAGTGGTTCTCAACCCATGGGTCTCCAGATGTTTTGGCCTACAACTCCCAGAAATCCCATCCAGTTGACTAGTTGTTAGGATTTCTGGGAGTTGAAGGCCAAAACATCTGGGAACCACTGTCTTAGGATGTTTTTGAACTGGTTATGCCAGTTACTTCTCCATGATATTGTGTGCCTTCAAGCCATTTCAACTGGAAGGTGAGCCTATTAGGGAGTTTTCTTGGCAAGATTTGTTCAGAATGGATTTATTTTTGCCTTCCTCTGAGGCCAAGAGAATGTGACCCACCCAAGGTCACCAGTGCGTTTCCATGACTGAGTGAGGATTTGAGCCCTAGAGTCATACCACTACCTCACATTGGCTCTCTTTCTTCCTGAAATCCAGATCTAAATTGTCCTGTGCAAATGATCCCCTTGCCCCCAAAGAGATCTCCACTTTCATAGCCTTTGATAGTCATGTACTTTCAGCCACATGTTCTGGAATTCTACTGAGAGGACTGAAAATTCTATGAATTGAATAAATCATGTTTAAAGACTTAATGAGGCATTTAATTAATTAACCATAAAATTCTACATTGTTACATTTCGTGGTTAACGACATTGGATAAAATCCACTGGGAACTTCTCCAGTTCTGTGGGAAGAAGATGTTTGCAGAATGGGTGCAGTCCACCAGGGGCTTCTGTGCAAGTCCAATGAATGGAAACTAAGCAAGAATATGCGCCACAGAGGAGAAACCATAGCAATTTCTGACCTACACACATTCAGCCATTCAAAGATAGGCAACATCTATATTGTCCATTGGACCTTTTTTTTCTTTTTAAAATTCAAATGCAAACTATGAGTTGCTGTGAGTTTTCCGGGCTGTATGTCCATGTTCCAAAAGCATTATCTCCTGACGTTTCACTCACATCTATGGCAGGCATACTCGGAGGTTGTGAGGTTGCCTCTGAAGATGCCTACCATAGATGTGGATGAAGCATCAGGAAATAATGCTTCTGGAACATGGCCATACAGTCTGGAAAACTCACAGCAACCTAGTGGTTCTGGCTATGGAAGCCTTCAATAACACATATGAGAGGATTGAAAGTAGGCTGGGAGGAAATGACTTTTGTTAGAGGGTCTTCCCAGGGGAGTAGTCAAGCCTCTCCCAAACCTGGCTCTTCTAGATACTTTGGCCACATATTTTGGCTCAGCATGGTCAGAAATAGTGGAAGTTTTCAGACTAAACATCTGGAAGCACCCAGATTGCATAGCAGACCATGCAACAATCCCATATCAAGCAAGTGGAGCAAAATGTGCAATTTCGTCGCTTTCCTTCCCTCCCATATATGAATTTTATTGGGGGGGGGGCATGGGTCCCAAGGGATTATCATCTTTTGTTCTCCATCTAAAATCTTTCTGCACCAGTTGTTGAACCCTAGGAAGGGCCAATGCTGCCGTTGCTGATTACCAGTAACCACAGGGGAGAGCAGCGAGGCAATTCAGATATTCACCCAACCGGCTCAACTCAGCTTGGAGAGGGAAGGAAATGCACTCACAGATACGGAGTACACTGTCTTATCCCTTCTCCTTATAGCTACGGTGGAGTTATCTCCCAGTCTCTCCACGCCCCACCAATAAGCAGGAGCGGCAATGGCCTCTCTTCCACAGTTGTAGGGCAGGGAGTTCATGATGTTGTGCACAGGGCTAGGGAGTAATGCCTTGTGCGCCATCCAAGAAGAAACATATGCACTCATGTGTGTTCTGTACAATCTATGCCAGATGGATTGGCTCAGCCCAAATTTAGCTTCCTAGGTTCAAAACTCCTTTTGGGGGATCAAAAGTTACTTCCATAGGTTTTCCCCTAGCTTGTTTGTAGCCTGTGTATTTTCCTTTGGTCTACTTTCTCCAGAGTGCTACAGTTTAGAGTAGTAAATAAAAACTAGAGCTCGGAAGAATGACTTTTTTTGATCTACAGCTCTCAGAACCTTTGTGGGCTTCTCTACAAGTCGTGCCACCTGGGGATTCTTTTGTCCAGAAAAGCACTTTTCTAAGTGCTGGTGGACAGCATAGGTGCCGGTACCTTTTGTGGATTTTCTGTGTATTTCCTACTTTCTGGGAGAAGCTTTAAGTCAGAAGATATTGTTGGTCTGCAGGTATGAAGGAAGGAGGAAGGAAGGTTAGGAGCTGACATCCAGGAGCATCTGAACAGCCGCATGATTCCCACTCTAGCTTTTGAAAAGGCAAGCCTTGTTCACAGTGTGTCTGATATACTTAATCGCAGGCATGTGACTGGGTTCCTTTCTTTTGCTTAGACTGCTGGTTCATTCATTTGTCGCCGTCCACTTTAACCTGGTTAGTAAAGGCCTGCTAAGCAAGCAGTTTCATGCTGTATCCTAGCTACCAACTCCTTTGGTCAGATATGCGAAGGCTCCCAATTATAGTGGGCTTTCCAGCAGATTTGGAACTGAAGGGATAAGTTGGCTGGCCCGGGGAAATGCACTTTGTGCGTTACACTGTAATAAAATCTTAAGGTGTCTCACAACTCTTTCTTCTATGTTCCCTTTATCTGCTTTTGTCTCAGAGAGGAAATCGCCATATGTGGAGGTTCTCTGCATTTATATCACATCTTTTCTCTGCATTTGTTCAGCCATTCAGGGCAAATAACAATGGCTTCAAACTATAGGAAAGGAGATTCCACCTGAACATTAGGAAGAATTTCCTAACTGTGAGAGCTGTTCAGCAGTGGAACTCTCTGCCCCAGAGTGTGGTGGAGGCTCCTTCTCGGGGGGCTTTTAAACAGATGGTCATCTGTCGGGGGTGCTTTGAATGTGATTTTCCTGCTTCTTGGCAGGGAGTTGGACTGGATGGCCCATGAGGTCTCTTCCAACTCTATGATTCTATGAAATAAGAGGGGGTTCTACTAACTACCCCAGATCTGTGAGCTAGGAGATAGGATGGGCCTGTGTCCATCCAAGATTTCAGTGATGAAAAATAAGAAATTGCACATTTGCTTGCCATTTGGATTGTGTATGAAGGTCCCCAGTAGTGCCAAAGCATTGTAAAAAGTCTAAGGCCATGATCTTGGTGCTTAAAGAATCCTCCATGAAGCAGGTTGGAAATATTGGAGAAATGCCACCATAGCAAGGAGACTGTTCCACACAGCTTCTTGGTGAAATGCATATTTCGTTATGATGAATTCCTACCATGCGCTCGAATGTGCACAAACATTTCCCAGGACAATGCGGCATCCCAGTGCTGTGGTTTTTTTTTTTTTTTTTGGCCTTTGCAGGTGTTACCATGGATATGGAGCAAAGGCAGGGAAACTGCCAAAATAATCATTTGTATTCATCATATCTTGTGATGTTTGTCAGAGCATGGGGACAGTTTTTTTTTTACTGAAACTCCCACAAGTGTCTCCAGATCCTGATGTTTACAAAATAGGGAGGGTCTTGATTCAGTGTATTTGAGTGTATCGGGTATTTATGCCAAGTTTGGTCCAATGAATGAAAATACATCCTGCATATCAAATATTTACATTACAATCCATAACAGTAGCAAAATGACAGTTATGGAGTAGCAACAAAAATAATTTTATGGTTGGGGAGTCACCATAACATTAAAGGGTCATGGCATTAGGAAGGTTAAGAACCACTGGTCTACAAGAAGTGCTGTGAGAGACACTCTTGGGACTTAACTTTTCACAGAGAACAAATTAAGGATGATAATAGCAACTCTAAAGTATGTGTCCACTTTGTTTCCTTTTGTTAATCTGCAAAAATAATTATGGTCTGAAGATGAGCTGCAACTCAATCTAAATTGTATGTTTTGTTGGAATCTGGGAAGTTAAATGTATTGAGAGCCAGCACTGTTTGGGATATGCTACTCTTCCTTCTCACTAATGGCTGGTTTTGTTTTTCAAAGTTTTGAGTCCTTGGGCTGAGATGATAGCTAGATGGTGTCTTCTTTCTTCCCTTTATAACTTGTTAATAGCCCAATCAGAGGGGTATTCCCAGCATGTTAGAAGTAAAGGTATGCATGTCTCCACAGCAACAAACAACTTGGTCTGTTTTCTCTTGCTTCTCTTTTCCAGGAAGTGGTTCTATATTGTTTGGAAAACAAAGTCTGTGATGTAAATCATCGTGACAATGCTGGTTATTGTGCCCTGCATGAGGCCTGTGCCAGAGGCTGGCTGAGCATTGTGCGACATCTCCTCGAATATGGAGCCGACGTTAACTGCAGCGCTCAGGATGGAACTAGGTTAGCAGCACTCTGTTTACTATGACAAAACGGCCTTTGCTTTTTGTACCACATTACAACACGCAGCTGGGTTAAAGGTGCCAGCAGGTTTGAAATCATTTAAAAAGAAGTGGCATATTTCTCCAGAAGCCGAGGTCTAGAGCAGAGCTCAGAAGAGAGTTATCGTTTCGTACTATAACTCCCAGAATCCTTTAGCCAGGAGGGTCCACTGGGATTCTGGGAAATGTAGTAAATGGTTCCTAGCTCTGGTCTAGACTCTCAAATTCTGTCCTTAGAGAAGTTGAGGCTCCCTTGCTAATTTCATATATTATGTGTACTGTGTTTTTTAAAGGAATCCAATGCCATCCTTGAATACCATGTATGCTTAACATAGCACTTCTTTTGCTGATTTTAGTGGAAAACATTCACAGGTCACGGTCTCCATTTGTCAGGGTTTTTGTTGCCGGATCATAAAGAAATCCTTTATCGCTCCTCTGTATATTGTTGTGGGCACTGATATCCATTCATTGTTTCCTTTATGTTACATGTACTGCATGCATAGTTGATACATTTCAATTATTCTGCACCTTCCTACTTATAAAAGGAAAATATTTACATACATTCTTGGAAGGTTTCATGCAGATTTATTAAATGGTTGCAAAAGTCCATACATCCACCTTTTACCTTTATACATTTTAAAAGATCTTGTTTTTGTTCAGAGTTCAAGAGAAATCATGTATTGTAATATCACGTTTTGTAATATTTTAGTACTTGTTGGTTTTTTGTGATACTCAGGCAAATAGACAAGTAGTCTGCTTGCTATGACTGCATTTACTCATATTTTAACATGCAGAATCTTGCCACATATTTTTAAAAATAACACATATATGGTGCTGAACACATATATGGTGCTCTTTTTATTACTACAAACTGTCTGGAAATTCTTTTCTAATTCCTTTATCCTTCTTTTTGCATTACTATGTCCTAACATTTCCTTACTAGAATTATTTATTGTGTGAAGTTGATCTTCAGAAAAGCATTTTAGTCATTGGGTTGCTGTGCGTTTTCCGGGCTGTATGGCCATGTTCCAGAAGCATTCCCTCCTGGTGTTTCACCCACATCTATGGGAGGCATCCTCAGAAGTTGTGAGGATGCCTGCCATAGATGTGGGTGAAACATCAGGAGCGAATGCATCTGGAACATGGCCATACAGCCCGGAAAACTCACAGCAATCCAGTGATTCCAGCCATGAAAGCCTTCAACAACACATTTTAGTTGTTTGTAATTTCCTTATCTGAAAAATACTGTGCTAATTTGGGAATGTTCATAGGATTCTTCTCCTTGGAATATTGTATATCTTATCACCAAATCTAGCAGCCCAAAGACTTAAAATCAACATGCCTGTAAGCCAATAGTCGTTTCATTATTGTCCCTTGCATAAAATGTCAGGCAGTGTGAGAAGGCTTCCTAGAAAAACAAAACCTACTAGAAACTTCTGACCACTTTGTCATTATCACCTCATCAGGTCTACAAAAGCATCTAGAGTATTTGTTCCTTCCCCCTATCTAACTAACTAAAAAAATCCTCTGGAGGGAGAGGCACCCCACTGTGTGGGATTTTTTAACCTTAGTAGTCAGTCTACCAGGGCTGCATTTTAAAGGGTCACTTTACACAATGAGGCAAGTCAGCATTTGCCACATGTGGTTGATACAAAACATGGGCTTCAAAGCAGCTTGGCAGCCATCTCTTTTCTATAGTATGTAAATCTGCCCTAAGGGATTATCTAAGGAATTTATTTTGTCAAAGTTGCCTTTTTTCCCAGTGTCAGGAGCGACTTGAGAAATTGCAAGTAGCTTCTGGTGTGAGAGAATTGGCTGTCTGCAAGGACGCTGTCCAGAGGACACCCTGATATTTTGATGTTTTATCATCCTCGTGGGAGGTTTCTCTCATGTTCCCGCATGGGGAGCTAGAGCCGACAGAGGGAGCTCATTCGTGCTCTCCCGAATTCGAACCTCTGACCTGTCGGTCTTCAGTACTGCAGGCACAAGGGTTTAACCCATTGCACCACTGGGGGCTCCTGCCAAAGCTGCCTTCTATACCCCATCAAATAAGATATGAAAGACCCCCTTCCCTACCTAACACAAGATATTTATATGGTCTGGTGAAGTAACATGTCCTTCCATAATTCAGTGGGAGAAATTCCTGGATTTCTCATGCACAATATCTTCCCTGTATGGCTCCTCCACCTCTTTGGCTGCATACTGAAAACCTCACGTTATAATGGGGAGCCCTGGAAATTGTGGTCAAATGTTGTTATAATAATATTGTCCAAATATCTAAAAGCACCAGATCCCACCTAATCTTTGAAGTTGAGTAGCATTAGCCCTTGTTAGCATTTGGATGGGAGATTGTCAGCAAATCTCAGATGCTCTAGGTTATATTTCAGAAAACGAAACTTGCAAAAACAGCTTTTGAGGATGCCTGTCATAAATGTAGGCAAAACATCAGGAGAGAATGCTTCTGGAACATGACCATACAGCCCGGAAAACTCACAACAGACCAATGATTTTGATCATGAAAGCCTTTGACTATACACCTCTGAGTATTCCTTGATAAGAAAAACCTATGAAATTCATGGGATCATCATAAGTAGGCATGGTTTTTTGTTGTTGTCAGGAGTGACTTTAGAAAAACTGCAAGTTGCTTCTGGTGTGAGAGAACTGACCATCTGCAAGGGCATTGCCAGGTGACTTGAAGACACATAGAACATATATTAGGGTGGGCTTCCATCTGGAAGTTTAATAATAGATACAAGGTAACTAACCTACATCGATCGTTGAAATCCAAATAGCCTGAGGAGAAAACAGACAAATAATTGGTGGACTCTAGTTCCAGTTTTGAAAGCATATTCCTGTTCTGTGCATGTACTTAAGTCTCCCTGCCCCTGTGTTATACTATCCAGATTCTCCTTCACTTAGATTTGACCACGATTCCCCATTTTATTACGAAAGGAAGCCAGATTTCAGCTGGAATGAAACGAGCCGGCCCCTCCTGCCTGCTTGAATGCATGGGCAACTCTGCTCTGGCCAAGGGTAATGCAGATCTCCCTAAGCAGAGTGCAGGAATGGATTGTCTAAAATAGATCTTCCACAAGAGTCACTGTTTTGCAATGGCAAAGTTAATGGAGAGCAGTTAATGTTGCACAGAATGACCTTGTGGGAAAGGTCTCTCTCCATGCTTATAAGGAAAGGAGGTGCAGATAAGGTGATGTCTTGATTGGGGACTGCAGCAACTGTAGTGGAACAGGAATCAGCCATTGGGTCCCGTATTGGTGTCCACAGCCCTATTTGTTTTGGGTCTACCACAGTAAGAGAACACTTTGTTCTTTGTTGCTCCTCCTCTTCCTGCGATAACTGCAGGGGAGATCCTGCTAAAGAGTTAAGATCCATGAAAGGACACATCAGGGATTTCTCTGCTAAGGCATTTTAAAAAAGGAAAGTATACATCTTTGATCCCAGGAGCAATTTATCCCTTGACCCTGGTTGGATTTGCCTATTGTGATTTTTGTTTGTTGCTTTGCTATTTCAGAAACATTCTTAAATAGGAACTGGGATTAAAATTAGTACCTTTTTCCCTTTCCTAATTGCTATGCGATTTAATCTATCTTTGTGGGCTCTTAAGTTTTAAAAGTTCTCACCTGATCTATTTCTCTCTCCCGCCTCTCTCCTTATCTGTAATCTTATCTGTAACCTTAAGACCCCGGTGGTGCAATGGATTAAACCCTTGTGCAGGATTGCTGACCCAAAGGTCAATGGTTCCAATCCATGGTGTGGGGTGAGCTCCTGTCTGTCAGCCCTAGCTTTTTTTTCATGACAGGAGCAACTTTAGAAATTGCAAGTTACTTCGGGTGTGAAAGAATTGGCCGTCTGCAAGGACATTGCCCAGGGGACGCTCGGATGTTTGATGTTTACCATCCTTGTGGGAGGTTTCTCTCAAGTGCCCGCATGGGGAGCTGGAGCTGACAAAGCTCAACCAGCTCTTCCCGGATTAGAACTGCTGACCTATCGGTCAATAGTCCTGCTAGCACAAGGTTTTAACCCATTATGCCACTGGGGGTAATGGGTTAAAAAAATCGCTTAACTTACACTACGGGGACATGAGAGAAGCCTCCCACAGGATGGTAACACATCCAAGCAATGTCTTTGCAGACAGCCAATCCATGTCTTTGCAGATACCAGAAGCAACTTGCAATTTCTCAAGTTGCTCCTGACATGAAAAAAAAAATCTTAAGCATTTCATGTATTTATCCATGTAGGACTAGTGAAATGACCTAGGACTTCTGGCATCTTACTCTCAACTCTCACTTTGGCTTCTTGCTCTCACTTATTTTCTTCGTGTAGCATTATAACTTGCTGCATTTGTTCTTAGGAAATTCCCCACTTATTATAAAATAAGAAATTTACATATCAGAAGCAGCCATCACTTCACTCAAGTCTGCACTGATGTTGCCTGTGCTGTGTATATATGCTTCTATTCTGGATTAGCCATGTATGAATACGTGAGAGGAAGTCATAGGGAGGAAGGGAGCAAGCTTGTTTTCTGCTGCCCTGGAGACCAGGAACAATGGCTTCAAACTACAAGAAAGGGAGATTCCACCTGAACATTAGGAAGAACTTCCTGACTGTGAGAGCTGTTCAGCAGTGGAACTCTCTGCCCCGGAATGTGGCGGGGGCTCCTTCTTTGGAAGCTTTTAAACAGAGGCTGGATGGCCATCTGTTGGGGGTTCTTTGAATGCAATTTTCCTGCTTCTTGGCAGGGGGCTGGACTGGATGGCCCATGAGGTCTCTTCCAACTCTATGATTCTATGATTAGAAGAATGGGAAGCCATATTAGTTGTCATCACAGAATAGCCATATTTTTGGCCACTGGAAGTCCCTCTTTCCTTTCCCATGTTTTTCTTCATCAAAAGGAGCTGGGACGAGTCTGACAATGATCTTGTGACTGGCAGCTGTGCATAACAT